ACCATTTAATTTCTTTATTATAAGACCCATAACAAAATTAGACCGAACTAGTTGGTTCAGTCCTATTCTAGTCCAAGTAACCCACCTATAGATGGAATGACAATTCAACTCAGCCTATAGGTTGAGAACGAGTAGTGCAATTATCTTGTACAATTTTCTTTTATAACGAAATATGAACACGTACTTGCTATTCAAGAAAGAATTACCAACTAATAGGCCAAATTTCTTAAATATTTGACACAATGTAAAGTGGCGTCAAGTTCACAAATATATTCATTTCACTTTTACAAAAATATTAAATTCACTCGTCGCTTTTAGCGAATCTCCAATGCATTTTGTGGATTGCTATATTGGTGACATGCAATTTGAAAGACTTTGATGTCTAATAAATAAACACTCAAGTCCAAAATATTCTATGAATTGCTATATAGATGTCATATCATTTTATTTTATTTTTTTAAATAAAAACACAATCACACGTAAATCTGGATACAAACTCTAACATAGCTTCTGGATTTTAGATAGAAGTATAGGCATTGTCTATTTTTTTCTTTGACTGAGTCCCTATCAGTTTGCATCTGAGAGAAATTTTTTTAAATACGGTCTAATTGTATTTATGTGGCATAATTTTAAGCTATCCATAATTACATTGAAAATGTACGCTTTTAATTTAACAAATTTTCAATTCTCGACACAATCTCCCTGATACAACCTTAGTTTTTTAGTTCTCATCTATTTCTTCCCATTTTCAAGGAAAAGATATCTCACATGCAAAATAATTAAATTTACTTAAAATACAATTAAGTCTGCTACCCAATTGAGGACCACACCACATTCGACTCTCGTCGAGTAGTATTGCCTCACCAGATGTATGGAGAGCCTTGCCAGCGATCGTTAGACGATGATCCCATGCTTCTGACCCAAGGACATTGTTTGAAGGCACAACCAAACCTAAAGGTTTGCCCCAAGGCGATCAACAATCTAGTTGAGCGACGTTAATCCCACCACAACCCTTAGCTCATCAAACTATTGACCGAAGGAACAAATGATGAATTAAATGCCTTTAGATGACCATAGGTCATTTGCTCCAAACACCTATTATGAAGGTAGAAGGGTCTCCGCGAGATCTTTTCAAAATGGGCAAAAATCTATTAACATCATTGTACGTAGCTATACACATATCCCTAATTAAGAGAGTTTGGGAGATAATATGGTATTTCTAAGACAATGGACCACTTTTATTTGTCACACAACAATTACTAAAGATACAAGATTAATATATGTCACATACTCCAATAGAGTGGATGACTCGACGAGAGTCCAAATCAACTAGTACAGCAGTCTTTAAAGTTAGAAAATACCCGAATCTCAAATTCTGTATAATTATAAGTGCACAAGCAAAATGTATGCAATATCTAAAAACTTGAAAAAAAAATTCGTCAATTTATTTCACCCTCACTCAATTTTCAGACTTGAGAGTCGAAGTGCAATTGACCATCAAACCATCCCTGATACGGTAACCTTGCATTATATGATCTCATAATATGCATGTAAGGCATAAGTAGATGAAAAGGTAACGCAAATTTATTAACAATTGTATCGCACATAATTGGAAGTCAGCGAATTCAAATAACTCAAAAGGATTTGGGATTGAAAATACAAATAATAGCTGTTAATTTTAGGAAGGTAATGTGTGAGAATGACTCAAGTATCTCTATGTTTCTTGTAATTAGAAATATGAAGTTGGTTAGACCCCTTATTGCATCCTCATTAAGTTGAAAATTCGATAAGTATGAAGTTGGTTAGACCCCTTATTCTAATTTATGAACTTAGTCGATAGAAAGCAACCCGTCACCATCTGAAGTGATCTCATTGACTCTACCTTAAACAATTTATTTACCCTGCAACGGACGGGCCCCCATTACATCACCATATAAAAACTCTCTCCATGAATGCTCTCTCTTTCAGCCTCTCTCTCTCTCTCTCTCTCTAACACATCGATAAAAAGCGCACCGTACTGGAATTCCACCTCAGCTCCACCCCACACACCCGAGGGACTCGGAAATCGACGCCCCCTTCAGCCATGACTGCAGTGAATCAGTAAATTTAAAGAAAAAGGAAAACCAGATTTTCGTTTCTGATCCATTTTAAACGTGGAAATGATCAGATATACATATATTTTTTTCAGTTTAAAGTGTAATTTATTTGAGTGGACCGCGTGAATCAGTCGATTTTACGGCTCAATGTATGAAATTTCTCTGTGACCCACCTGAATTTAGAATAATTCTGAGGTCAGAAAAACTCCCAATTGGATTTTCAGCTACTGCGATATGCAAAAGGTAAAACCCTAATTAGTCTTTCGTAATCTTTAATCCATTCGTTTTCTTATTATTATTATTATTTTGTTGAATGTGTATTTTTTTTTTTCTGGGTTTCACGTTGAATTTGATTTTGTGTGGAATGGATAATAATTATTGTTGGGTAAAATGGATGATTTGTGTGTGTATATTTATCAATCAAATAACATAAATATAATTTAACAATAATATAAATATAAAAAGAGAAGAGTTAGAAATGCAAGCCCTAGGAGTTGCATCAATTGCCTCCCCTCCGTTCTTTTGACACTACACATCTTCAAGATAAAATTCATGTTGCTCACAGCTGATTCTCCTCCTACGGACAAGACCATAGGGAGATAATTGAACAAACCTCTCAACGAGTTACCAAAATAGTCCAGTATAAAATTGTAGACAAAATAATATTTCAAGTTGTTGTATTCTAGTTCTATTTTTCAATAAGATATAAAACCATTAAAATATAAGTTATAATATGAATTATGATGTTTTTAATTGGTGTTAAGACTGATTATTAAATCAAAAAATAAAAAATAGATGGTTTAAATATTGAAAGGTTAAAACTTTATTTTCATGTTACAATAATCCCTTACAAGTTTTAAATTTTCAAAATAGATAAATATATAATATAATATAATAGTGACAACATAATACTTTGTAATAGGTGTATGCATCTTTTGGACTTGAACATCACTTAGTGAAGATAATTTCCATCTGAGGAAGCTATAATGGACTAAACCTTGAATTAGGTCCCTTTAGCCAACTTCATTTGTTCTACGTACAGTATCAATTTAGGCTAAATTCATTGCGGATGGCGCTGTTAATTGTCATACGCTATAATCTTGATTCTAGTAAGAGTCTCAATGGAGTAGCCTAATCCAATAGCTACTACGGCCTCGTGACAACTCTTACATAGATGAGTCCTCTAAGGGTGCATGTGACCCACACCTCTCGAGAATTCTCATCTCAATACTCATTCAGGATTAAACCTTTCCTGACATCACATTATTACTAGCACTACCACCGTAGGGATGAACACAAATAATATAGTGTTATTTCGAGTCACGTAGTACAGGTTGTTTCCACTACATTGAACCTTCTTTATGGAATCTCCAATCACAAGGGTTGGGTTACTCCCGGAGGTCTATGATCCTCGGATTCAAATACGGGTATCGGGCGGGTATGTATCTAAATGTCGGATCTTTTATTTTCTAAAATATAGGATACATAGACATGGCTAAAAAGAGTCCAAATTTTGGACACGAATCCGTGAATACGTCTTTCAAGCTTCAATTTTTTTTACTAGCATAAGATGTCATTTTGAATAGACCAAAATCAATTGTTCACAAAAAAAGAAATGAGTATTGAATAAGGGGTCTTAATAAAATAGAATTTTGGGGTTTAGTTTTTAATTATGAGAGGATTGGTTGCAATGTGTACTTAGTGGAGTACCTAGTAGCACTTTATGAAACTTATTTTCATTTTATACAAACAAAATTCTAAACCATCAATGAATTTTCGATATTCCTTTTTATTTTTCATCAAACGAATGGCATCTTCTTCTAGAAATCCTAGCTATTCTTAGCAACGATTTGATAGACGGCTCATTGGGATAGATGTAGATGAACAATACCCCCTCTAGAAATGAAAATATAGTCTATCGTGTAATTTCCACCTTTCGTGAAATTAGGCAAGTAAAATGAATTTCGTCTTATGTCTTATGTATATAATCAAAGAGAGAGAGAAGAAAAAAAGAAGAAAAGGGAAAGAAAAAAGAAAGAAAGAAGAAGAAGGGGCAATCTTGCGCTGTCGCCTTTCAACATCTTCTCGGAGGCGGCACCAAGTTTATTGAGAGCAAAAATGAGAAAGAAAAGGGAAAAAAAGAAGAAAACAAAGAAGAAGCAAAAATAATGAAATGAAGAAAACGAAGAAGAATAAAAAATAATGAAGCGTTAGATTGAAACTTGGAGGATCCGACATATATCTCATACTCATACCCGTGTCGTGTAGTGTCTAACATGGGTATTCCGACCATTTCAATGAGTCCGAGCATCAAAGCCGGAGGTGACTCCCTTATAGGCTTAAACCCATCCCCTTGATGATTTATGTATGTCCATACTATAATTTATTTCATGTCCCTCTTGGACAGTAATTTGGTAATATCAATTTGCATAGCTCTTCTTCTCCACTTGCAAATTTGCATGTCATCTAAAAACTTTCCAAATATTATCGCATATTTAATTATAATATTTGGTAATACTATCACACCGGTCATGTTCAATTATGCAGAAAACCTCTACGATAAAATAAAAATCACACTTTTGAATCTCTTACTTCTCATAATTGTATTACAAAAAAGAATGTGTTTATTAGAGGTCTTCACTGGAATTAGAACGCTAAATTTTCACATGTCATCAAGAGTTTAATGACTACTTTGCATCTTCAATTAATACATACATATATTATATAACACAAATTTTATATACGATACAGTCATTCGTTAACACAAACACCTACACGGCTACACCATCTCTTCAAATTAAATATTCATGAACATTAAATAATTTAATCAAGGTTTTTGAATTTTATTAAATTTGAAATTTAAGCTCCAAAGCTGAAAATTTAAATGAATGAAAACTGAGAATTACAATTTAATTTTTAAAGTTAAAAACTTATTGTTTTTATAAGCATGTTTGGTACAGACTAAAATCCGATTTTAATATGAGTCAAAGTTAAACAATTAATATGAACCACATCTTTCATAGGCACAACGTTTCAACTACACATTTCAAAATTTTAATAACAATCTACAAAAAAAATCTAATTTTAACCCTACAAAATATCCTCTATGTTACACTTAAGATGTAAATAAAATTATGCAGATTAGTCGTGAAATTATACCTCTTTTAAAATATTAAATAAGCGCATTTTACCAATTTAGTAAATAAGATATTTATAAGTTGTCTCAATTGCAGCCAAATGTTTGTGCCCTTTGAGCCACGGATTTGTGCTGAGTACTCACATAAGTTCTGACCAAGTATGAGATTTATTGCCATAAATTACAGCTAGACTCATAGCTTAGAACCTTGGATAACGCAGGAAGTTCACTGCATTTGATAAGATATCCCATATGGTGAACTCTATACTTTTTATTTATGTTCAAATGGAAACTATATATAGATATTAACATTAATCAAATTATGTACCTCTCTGGATGTCAAAGCAACTTAACTACCGCTGCATCTAAATTAAACAACTGCAGATATTAAATCTTGTGGAAGAGAAATTGGGATAGGTGCAAGAGAAACACAACATAGCATTATTATTATTATTATTATTATTATTATTTAATCATCAAATAATCTGTCCCTCATAGGTAGAAAGGCAGATTTGCCCAAAAAATGAATAAACGAGGGATGCCAATTTTCTATACTAATGAGATATCTCCTTTACAATAAATACACCTATATAGTGAGAGGAACACCGTGTTAATCAATGAATAATATCAAACATTGAAATGTTTTGCCATTACCCTCTATCATTTCATCCATAATTAAAAAATGGCATAATATATTCAAATTAGAGGCTCAGAAAATGGAACAATAATTTTGTCGAATTTCAATTTCACTTAAAAAAGAATTATTCCAAGTAAAAATACTCTAGTAAACATCTAATTAGATATATGCTTAATTTTTCTCTTCCCATAGAGAGAGAGAGAGAGTGTGTGTGTGTGTGTGTGTGTTATTTAGGCATCTGTCACATCCATATTGATTAAAATATATTTTTTACCTTTAAACATAAACCATGAACAAAGATGAGAGGATTTTGTTGGTGCCTCCAAAAGAGATACTAGTATTTTATCGTAAGAGAGATTCATGGAAATTTTTTTCTTTCAACTAGAAACATGCTTTTATGTCATTAGATCATTATTTCTCTCTCACACTCTACCACTGTAAGATAAATATGGAAGCTAAAGGAAAAGACTATTAACATTAAGTACATCAGGAAACTAAATCCAAATGTATCAAAGAAGAAAGATACATTTATTGACTAGATCACACTTACAATTTATCTAAGAGAAAAGTTTATTTATACACAAAGCACACATTAATCAAGCAGCACATGAAACACTTCATCGTTTAAATATTACCATAAAATCATCTAAACACAAATCATGCAACACAACTTTAGATTTTTAGGAAAATGGGTGATTTGTGTGTAGATATTTATCAACTAACATAATCAATTAAATGAGATAAACATAATTCAATAATAATATAAACATAAAAAGAGAGGAGTTAAAAATGCAAACCTTAGGGAGTCACGTCAAAGACCCTGGCGTAAAGTTGTGTTGCCTTCTCTTCGTGCAGGTTCTTTCGACACTACACGATTCCAAGATAAAATCCATGATGCTCACTGGTGGTTTTCCTTCAATGGGCACAGTCATAGAGAGATAAATGAATGAGCCTCTCATCAAGTTGCCAAGATAGTATATTATAAAATTGTCAAGAAAATAATATTTCAAGTTATTGTATTCTAGTTCTATTTTTCAATGAGATATAACCAGATTTTATAGGTGAATTTCAACCCCCAGAATTAAACCATTGAAATATAAGTTATAATATGAATTACGATGTTTTTAATTTGTGTTAAATCTGATTATTAAATCAAAAAAAGAAAATTAAATGGCTTAGATATTGGAAGGTTAAAACTTTATTTTTATATTACAACAATTTTTGTGGAAGCTGACAAATTGGGTTTGCTCTTTTTGTTTGATTGAAGACTGAAATCCAGGATTCCATATAACTCATTTTACTTTGTGAAAAATCCATACTTTTTGCTCCATTTTTCAATTTTTTTATTTTTGGCTGGCACATGTATGGTTATTCTGATATAATTTGCAGATCTGTTCATTTATTAATTTTGAGTTTTCTTTCTCTTCCTATATAATTCAAAGTTTGGTTTTGGTTTCCTTCTTGTATTGATGGGTGTTGCAACAACGAGCAACGTAAATTCCGACTTTGTCGTTGGGGGTGCAACTAATATATGCATGGATTAGTTGATAAAGTACACTATATAAATGAAAAAGGGTTTACTTGAGGGAAAAGGAGAGAGTTTTAATGGTTGTTTTAGGCGTGGAAAGCTTCTGTTTGGTATTTTAAGTTGCGGGATGAACTGGACAGGGTTCCAAGTTACCCACCCTTTTTCTTTGGCGTTTTGTGAGCTATTTTATTGGGGTTGCTTTTTGATTGCTAACAAATGGCACATTTGGTGCAACTGTAATAAATAATATATAGGAGTGTAAAAAACTCCCAGCATATAAAATAGCAAGTGTATTGATATGTAGACGCATTTAAGCTACACATCACCTTGCACAATCTATTGCCAATTCAAACAGCAAGTTAACAGATTGGCTATGTTTATGAATAATCATATGGTTAAGGATGCAACTGAAACAGGGGATAAAATGTAATTAATCCAAGGTTAAAGTTGTAAAATGTATTTAATTCTTTCAAATTAAGTTGAAACTTTGTTTTTGATGACTAACAAACAAGTTAAGGCATGTAAAATCTTAGCTTAGCTGGTCTAGAGTCAAGGTTTAATAACTTAATTTCTGTGTGTACTATGTCTGTCAATCGTGATGTCCAAATGAGCTAGATACGTCTATAAAAATGTGCTGAAGCGAAGCTTATCTGTGTTTTGAATTTTTGATTCTAGTGTTCCTATTAGGTAGTTTATAACGGACTCCTAAATTTATTTGAGTAGGATTAACTGTCAAAAGCTGCTTATAAATCAAATTAAACACTATGATTTATTTTCTATAAGATATATTTTTTCTTTGTTCCTTTTGGTATTTATATCGTTAAAAATTTTTGCTCCCCATTTTACACATGCACGTAATTAATTTCCTGATTCTACACGAACAAACGCCATTGTGACCTCTACAAGAGTCTTTCTTTCATGTAAAGGTTGGAATTTTGATATGCACTCTTGTCAAGTTGATGTACAAAGATGTAGCTGGTCTCCTGCTTCCTTGCGTATGTTCAGAACTAGCATTATTGTATGGCACTTACTGAGGATAAAATGCTGGAATGCACTTATATGTCTTATATCAAACTTTATGTGGTACCATTTATGCGCTTCAGATCTTTTTAGCTTTAATTTTTACTTCTTTATGAGTTAAAGCCGCCGTTCCCATCTTTGCCACAAAATATTCTAAAGTGAGTAAAGACAGATTAAACCCTATATCAGCTATTCTTTGCTGTAGATTGTAAATAACTAGCTTCATTTTTTTTGACCTTTTTTATGTGTGTGCTGCAGATACTGACATGAATAGAGAGGAGTTCAGAAATATTATGTCTGTGAGGACGAAACCAGCAAGTCTAGCGACTGGAAAAAGCAATGGCCATTGTGAAGATGAAGGGGAATCCAAGATGGAACCACATGTGGGGTTAGAGTTTGACTCGGCAGAAGAGGCCCAAGAGTTTTACAGTGACTATGCAACCCAAGTGGGGTTCAAAATTAGGATTGGTCAGCTGTATAGATCCAGAGTTGATGGCGATGTTATTTGTAGGAAATTTGTTTGTTCAAAGGAGGGATTTCAGACAAACGCAAGAACTGGCTGTCCTGCTTTCATAAGAGTGCAAAAAGTTGATTCTGGGAAGTGGGTTTTGGCCAATATAAAAAAGGAACATAACCATGAACTTGAAGTCCCTGGAGAAATTTGTCCACCCAAGATTCAGAGAAAAAGTTTTCCTACTCCTAGATCATCAGCTGGTGGGGCAAGTAGGACAGGAATCAGATCGCACGAGGAGGATGGTCTAACTGGTGTTGTCGACACTAAACGTCTCAAAAAGGAAGACATGGGAGGAATTGCAGTACCTAGAGGTGAACCATACAAGGGTCTCGAATTTAGTTCTGCTGATGAAGCATACAAATTCTACTACACATATGCAGCCATTACAGGATTTAAAGTCAGGATCGGTCAGTTATTCCGCTCCAAACATGATGGATCAATTACATCCCGAAGATTTGTGTGCTCCAAGGAAGGGCATCAGCACCCTTCAAGAGTAGGTTGTGGAGCATACATGAGAATACAAAGACAAGAATCGGGAAGGTGGGTGGTCGATCGTCTTCAAAAGGATCACAATCATGAATTTGACAGTCCCACAGATCCTAGTAGAAGAGTGACACTTGCATCAAAGGGGTATAGAGAGGAAGGAAGCAGTGGGTTGGAAAATTTGGATTTAGTTGAAACAAATGGAGGCCTTAGCCTTGTCAAGCGAGTGCGAGAAAGTAATATTGGTAGTGAGTGGTATAGTATGCTTCTTGAGTATTTTCAATCTCGGCAAGCAGAGGATACGGGATTTTTTTACGCGGTGGAAATGCATGATGGTAAAGGCATGAATCTTTTCTGGGCTGATGCATGGTCTAGATTTTCCTGCACTCAGTTTGGAGACGCGATTGTGTTTGATACAACATACAGGAGAGGTAATTATTTTGTGCCATTTGCTTCTTTTATTGGGGTTAATCATCATAGGCAATCGGTACTTCTTGGCTGTGCTCTAATTGCTGACGAATCGGAAGAGTCATTTACTTGGATATTTCAGGCATGGCTTAGGGCAATGTCGGGGCGCCACCCTGTGTCTATAATAGCCGATCAGGACAAGGCCATTCAAAATTCAATTGCACAAGTTTTTCGGGGGTCACACCATCGGTTTTCTGCATGGCAAATTCTGAACAAAGAACAGGAGAACCTGGGCGCATTACTCTCAATGAATGCCAAGTTCAAATATGAGTATGAAACTTGTATTTTTCAGACCCAGACCGCTAATGAATTCGATTCGGCGTGGAATGTGCTTATGAACAAATATAACTTGAGAGAGAATGCTTGGTTAAGGGAGATGTACAGAATGCGTAAAAGTTGGGTTCCCCTGCACATAAGGGGCATATTCTTTGCTGGCATTCCTGTGGATGGAAGCTTGAAATCATATTTCAGTCCTCTATTGACAGCCCAAACACCTCTCAAAGAATTTGTTGTATTGTATGAAAAAGCTCTTGAACAACGCCGTGAAGAGGAAAGGAAGGAGGATTTGAATTCGTTTAATATACAAGCAGTTTTGCATACAAAAGACCCCATAGAAGAACAGTGTAGAAGGCTTTACACCATCACAATGTTTAAAGTATTTCAGAAAGAGCTTTTAGAATGCTATAGCTATGTTGGAACAAAAATAAATGTCGAAGGAGCCATTAGTAGATATCTGGTACAGAAGTGCGGAAATGGAGATGAGAGGAATACGGTTGCCTTTAATGCATCCAATCTTAATATCAGTTGTAGTTGTAAAATGTTTGAGTTCGAAGGTGTTCTTTGCAGGCACGCTTTGAAAGTATTCCAAATAATGAACATAAGGGAGCTTCCATCTCGATATATCTTGCATCGATGGACCAAAAATGCGAGATATGGTATACTCCGAGATGCTCATTCAGCAGGCGGTTCTGAAGATTTCAAGCCCCTGATGTTTTGGAGTTTAAGAGAAGAATCCCTTAATTTCATCGAGGCAGGAGCAGCATCTTTAGAAAGATACAAAATTGCCGTCGAGATCATGCAGGAGGGTAGAAGAAGTCTCTGCTGGCAAACTTAGTAAATTTCTAAGCTGCAGGTCAGAGATATTTTCTTCCTTCCATATTTCATCTTGATTCTCTAGTCTGAACTTTGTAATTCCTCCCTTGCCTAGTTTTAGTGGGTTTTCAGCCATGTGACTAAATAGAAACTCTTTTCCGTGAAGTACTTAGAGTTGTACTATGGCTCTATTTGTAGTTTACCTGTTTCATATCACTGTCAAGCAGTGCTTGAATGAAGAAGTGAATTTTGTTCCAAAATGTAATTGCCCACCTGCATTTACGTGTCTTGTTCTTAGAGTAATCTTATTGATTTGGCATTCATGTACGAGGTTTTTTTTATTGACTTTTCTTCTACATACTACTTATATCTTTGTTTGAATGTTTAAAGGAAAACGGCGAGTTCATCTGATTTTGTCAATAAGTTTGTATTTTAAAGAACACGTACAAGAAAGCCTTGAAACTGCTGATATTATTTCCTATTTAAGTAGAAAAATCGTCGAGGTAGCTCGACTCTTATTCAAAACGAAAGAACTGATAGATGAAGATAGAATGATATCCTGGTTGATTGATGTAGTTGCTAGTCCTTTTCTTTTTTCATTTCATCGAGATTGCATATGTACCAAACCCTGGGTACAAGATCGAAAGAATGCATTGGATGGATGCTCGGCGCTTTGAGAAGGAAGCACGCTTTCAAAGGAGAAAATGTCCCTTTTTGCTGTGTACTATTTTCCCCAACCAATTATCCCTGTAGCAAGTTGTCCGTAATGCTTAAAATGAAGCCAACTAATCTCTTACATTTCATTATAGTTGCATAATTAGTCCCCAATGATGAAAGTTGCCCAAATATTCGATATATGGAAACGCAATCATCATAAAAGCATTTATGACTTCGAAGTTGAGAAGCAAAATTAGTCCCCAACGATGAAAGTTGCCCAAATATTCGATATATGGAAACGCAATCATCATAAAAGCATTTATGACTTCCAAGTTGAGAAGCAAAATCTAGCTTCACAAGTCGATTTAACAGTAGTTTGGATTAATTTCAACATTGAGACTGGTGACTTAATTCATTTTCAAAGGTTGGAGAATAACTCGATATTAAACCATCGGTTAAGCGATGACTTGCCATCAAGATCAGGTTTTCCTCTGAATCCTTTGATTGTTCTACTTCACTTTGCACATACTACTAATAAAAAATATTTTGGACAATTCCTATTTTTGCTCCCTTGTGCTCTTTGGTGAAGATCACTTCCTATTGCCTTCATTATCTAGGCAACAAGGGATCGCTATTTCACATAACTTCATGTTTGTTTTGATATACATGTATTTTCCCTCTTGTTTTAGATTATTTTCGAGTAGGGGCTGTTTATTGGCATGGGTTTGTCCAGTTGATGATTGGCCAATGAAAGAAGAAAGTAATTGTTCTTCAAGTTCATCCTTTGTTGGTAGAAGTGAAATAAGAATGGAAAATGACCACGCTTTGTACATTTAACTGCCAATTCTTGAATCATTGAGGCACCTTGTAAGGAAGTCTAGAGGAATAATGGAAAGACTAAGAAATCTTAGACCAGACAATTCGTCGACCTTCCTTATATATATATCAACATATTATAGTTTGGATTGTGTTTCCCACCTTGAAGGTAAAGTTTCAAGAACTGGTGAGAGAACAAGAAAAGTGAGATATTAATTGATACAACCTGCGAGCAATAAATCTTTTTGAGGTCCCAAAAAATTTCATCCTGTTAATTTCCAAAACAACGGAAGAACAATTGAAAAGATGGGGAATGAGGGAATAAAAGGCGACTAACGGGCATCAAAACTTGAATAGATTACCAAAGTATGAAGCCAGAATAGCAGCAGTACAATTATCAAACAAAAATGTATTTGGACAAAGTGGTAGCACCTATAAGACCAACAAGGCAAGAGAAAGAAATAATGTTTGGCATTGGCATAGATGGACCGGCCGACAAGAAAATTTTGTGAGCATTGCAGTCTCCTCGAAAACCTCTAACAATCATCGCCTGCAATGCACAAAAATGAAGGGCTTATGTTATATGGTCCAACAGTAAATGAAACATACTTCCAAACACACGTTTGGTTACTTGGTAAAACACAGTGTAGTCTACTGTAAAGACAAACTTAAGAAGTGGGATATACAAGAAAGTAGATGAAAAAAAAGAAATTATCAACTTTGAGGGAAAAATATGTAACTGAGAAATCTGCTCGGCGTGGTTATAGATGTTCTTAAAGATCCGACGTATGTATGTGAAGAAAACTTAGAACATTTCTTTCTTCTTCACCAATGTTGCAAAACATAAAAGAAAATTTTCATTCCATTTGTCTTCAATTACTTTCTTCCTTGCAAGATCAAAATGGTGAATTACATTGTGCTGTTCTTCCACATTCTTCTCACAATGAAATACAGGCAAGTCACTAATTTATCAATCACATCACATAACAGGGTCATTTTACCAATTTAAACGTGGAAAAAAATAAAAAATAAAAAAACAGCCAAAAAAAAAGTGCTTAATAAAACTGCTTGGGTAATGGAAAAACGAAATGATATAAAAGATATATAGGGATAGAGTATCTTATTCTAACTTTCTATTAGAGCTTCTTCTTTTGCTTAAATCGAACATCTCAATAATTTGTCCATAAAATCAAAATTTGCAAACAAATTCGAAGATTGCTGCACTGAGGTTTTTCCTTATAATTTCCAATAATTATCAGAAAATAGATATCTTCCTCCAATTTTATTCTGTGAATAAGATTAGAGTTTGCAGCCCTGAACTATACCTTTCCATTTTCTCAAACAATTATATACTAATATTACATTGACTTCCACTCAATACACAATTCTGAAATCCAAAAGAATCAACTTTTCCAGCCCGATTACTTACATATATATAACATGAGCAAGAAAATTGGATTGATCCACAGAAAATCAGCCATTAAGCTTCATAAATTGCCTTTTCCCAGTTAAAAATAAAAATAAAAATAATAAATTCGGCATCAAACCCAACAATGAGCAGAGGTCAACCATGAATTAAGAAAATTCATCATTGAAAAAATAAAATGATAAAATTAACAGAAGCAAAAGTAAAATACCAACTTAATTCTGGGATCGACGGAGTGCAAGAAAGTGGTGGGAGAGGATATGTACTGGGCAATGGGGCTGGAGGTTGCCCCAGATATCAATTTAAATACTTTCTCTGCTGCAAAAAGATTTCTGGGTACCCATTTTTCCCAATTTTTTTTGCCCCCAATTGCTTCACTGTTACTATCTGCAGTACACTTGACATTGATTCTTGGTTTCTTGCAATAGTACAGCCGATAGTTCAAGATTTTAGTTGGGGTGAAGGACCTGAATATGCAGAGAGGACGGGGTGTAAGTCGAGGTTTGGTGTGCGTGTAGAGTAGGTTTGGGTACATGGATGACCCTGAGTGTAGGGGTCGGGTCGGGGAAGGAAGTTGCAGAACGAAGGATCTGTTTTTCTTTTCACCCTCACAAGTAACCTGACTTCTTTTCGAGTGGTTGTGAATGCGCCATCCGTCAATAATTTTGTCGAAACTATAAATTATTGGACAAAATAAATTTTATTTTCAAAAAAATTTCGTTTCTTGAGATTCTTTTCTTCCCTTCAGTTAATAGTCGAATTCTGTTTTATCTCATGATTTAAGCGTGGGTGTGTAAATTGAGCCGACAAAACTTTGGAGGTGAAAATTCATCAAACACAATATTATTTCAAAGTAATTCACGCACAAATACAACCTTAAAAAATCAAAAAAGAACCATTCCCACCCGGACTGTGATTGGGCGACCTCTCTTATATTAGAAAAGTAGGAACCATTGCAACATCCATTTACAAGATAATCTTAAATGTTTGATCAAATTAATAGTATTCGTCTGCTGTTCCAACTGCATTGTCAAGACCAACACGGACAGCAGCAATGCAGAATAACTGAGTTCCACTCACACATATCAACAGGGTCTCCAAGGTCCTCTGTAAAACAACATTATAAGAAATAATTAGTATTGTTATTAACAAAAAAATTTCCCGTTAGTTAAGAGCTTAATATTTAGACGATGTAGGTCAACATCACAAGGCTCTAGCAAGCAATCAAACTATTCGATACTACGTTCTGTTTTATTTTTACATAGAAGTAAAATATAGGAGAGTTTTCATATGGTTTGGACAATATCGAGTAGGTTTAACTAGTTGTTAGAGGGTGTATTCAACGTAGAATTTATATCTATAAATTAATAGTTCAGATTTTTTTTATTTTTTTATTTTTAGACGAGATGATTGAACATGCTTACCAAGTTTGATCCAGTCCAGCCTATATCAATCTCTTTGCATGCTAACCTGCAGCATACACACAATTGTTATGGATATGCAATGGTCTCTCTCCTTAAGCATATCTTGTCCTCTTCAGCCCAATGGACAATATCGAGTAGGTTTAACTAGTTGTTAGAGGGTGTATTCAACGTAGAATTTATATCTATAAATTAATAGTTCAGATTTATTTATTTTTATTTTTTTTTAGACGAGATGATTGAACACGCTTACCAAGTTTGATCCAGTCCAGCCTATATCAATCTCTTTGCATGCTAACCTGCAGCATACACACAATTGTTATGGATATGCAATGGTCTCTCTCCTTAAGCATATCTTGTCCTCTTCAGCCCAGTCTACCAAATATATCGTAAAACAAAAGCCCCGAAATGCCAAAATAACCAATAATGATATATAATTTTACCCCATTGCAAGCAGCGTAAGTAACCAAGTAACCAAAGAAGATGCAGCAGCAGCATGTAGATTTGGGGTATCCCATTGAAGCACATTATTGATTCCAGAAACTGAGGTGGTGAAGCCCACGACCCCAGCTAAGAGCGACATAATTACAACATAACCAGTAGCCATATTTCCAAATGGATAGTATATTGGAAAAATTCGAGCTGGGAGAGGTAGGACAGATGCTGCAAGAAATTTTGGCAAATTAATGATGTAAGAGAACTGGAAATCTTGTTTGTGATGTCGAACAACATTCTCAAATGGTGTAATCGATAAAAACTAAAAAGTGTCAGGATATGTGAAGCCTATCTATGTCGTCCATTTATCCTCCTAATTTGGATCCACCAAGTTTTAAGAGTTTTATTGGGCGTTCATATCATTGTAATAGATCGTCTTATTTTATATTATAGTGAAAAATTTTGTGGTAACAAGTGGTCATGTTTCTCATACTGCGGTGAACCACTATAAATATTTGTGTTCTGTATGTGCAGTTATGTTTTTTGTTTCACGCTTATTACTCTCGAATTGGGATTAAGACTTAAACTTGTACCTGTTTTGTGCGTTTTTTCGATTCCATGATTTACAGCCCATGCTGCAATGGCAGTGATGATGAAGTAGAGAATGACATTGAGTATTAAAAGAGCAACTGCTGCTGATCTCCCTGCTCCAAAAGCCATGGCCTGCCAATTCTAGCTTTGCAGAAAATTTTGATTTTATTTATGCCCTTCCTTAATTCAAGAAAGATATATATATATATACAAGAAAAATGGTTCCATTCTTTACCCATAAAACTTAGTTTTCTTCAAGAATTATCTATCTTTTCTCTTACTTTTGATTTAAAAATTTAGTATCTTCAGTTCAAAGAAATGGCTGGAATTCCTTGGTTTTGTTCAGAGTTTAGCCTCATAAAGGAGAAAAGAATATATCCTGCCTTTCGAATTGAACAGTTTACAGATGTAGTGGATGGCCTTTTAATTTGTGTACACTAAGAATAAACTTTAGCTTCTTATAAAACAAAAACAAAAACAAAAACAAAAAATTAAATTTTCTTCCCGATCAATTTGTGAGTCATTTGTATGAATTATGTTTTCTCATTACCTTTTATTTATTGTTAAATGTGCTGGAATATTTGCAGTAACTAGATTCTTTAACAACCACAATGTCATATTATTTTGGTCTACCCTTACATTGTTAAACTATGTTTTATCTAAAAGCTAAAATTTGTTAGACAAAATTGTTAATTTAATTGACTTTAATGCATAACGTGTTTCCTTCCTTGAAGTCAAATTTATTTTTTATTTAATGCTCGATATGTGGACCATTTTATATGAGCAGCAGCAGCAAAACTTAAATTCAAGTATTTTGTTTGCTCTAATACTATATTGAACTACTCGTCGACAAGACAGGATGGTGCAAGGATAGATCCCCCATCCTGCCCTACTAGAGATCCCTAGGAGTCGAGACATTAAATATCCCATTTATTACCCTATTACTTGTTCATTTAACTAGGATTATATTTTTATTTTTTTAATATACTATCTAAATTGTAGGAAAAAAATAAAATTGTAGTCCGACAGGAACTATGTTCCCCGTCATCGTTTCAACCCTGCTCCAAAAGGCGGGGACAAATAATTTCGCCATCCCTGCAGCCATCCATAATTTAAGCACTCAAATAAGAACACATTATTTATTTATATTTAGTTTTCAACACCACCTCGCATGCACGTCTAATTCATTTTTGTCAAGAGCATGATAAGAGTACAATACAAGATCTTTACCTACTTTAATTCCACATCGAACAACTTGATCTGAACTTGAGTTGTTAAGCAGCACACTGCACACATTTATTTAAAATTTAAGACATTCTTGATTAAAGAAGAGTTTATTGAATGAATAGTACAGAACTGAATTATCCTGTTAAACCTGCAACAATAGATAAATCAAAGTCTTCAGAGCAATGCAATGAAAATGGCAAAACCAAAATAGCATGAAACTTATCCAAGACTTTCATGAATGCTAAAAATTCATACTAGTCTAATGTTCAAGGGACCATCTTTTAATATCAAGTGTGGCCATTGCTAATTTTAGGTTCCTTATTTACAAAAGATTTCTTGAAAGGGGGTCGATAAAAAGGGATGTGCTTCTGTGCCTGCGAACTCAACAGCACCACGTAATTCCCTTCAAGCACAGGTACCTTAACATCAATGGCTTACACCTTCAACGACAGCTTCTGGGCAGCAAGGGCTTCAGCTTCTAGTGTTGGTTCCCACAATAAAGTAGTTTCGGCAAGTAATGAAGTCACGACATAGGGATCCATGTTTGAAGCTGGACGCCTATCTTCCAGGTAACCTAGCACGAAAGATAATCACCATGATAAGCAAGGATAGTTGCCCAGAGAACTCATGAAGAAATGGTTTAAGTAAATAAATTTAACATCTCTCTAACCATTTTTTAAGGCAAGGTGATTCTACCAGAGCATACAAAGATCCTGGTTTGAATCTATTGTAGCCCATTTATGAAGATTGTGCACGTATTATGAGTTCAATGAAAAATAAATAAATCTCCTCTCTAAAAGCTTAAGCTTTAGATGAGGTAGTTAAACAAGAAGTTTGGTCTTTTTCACTTTTCACAGTTAACAGGATTGAAGAACGGATTATCAGTGGTGCGATAGTTGGATCTAAGAACAGTGAAAGTTTAATTTTCTTGATTTTGCTTGTTAATAAGTCTACTCCTCTTTGTCAAAATTAATGTATCACGGAGTATTGTATGATCTTTGATTCTAATGGTGAGCATGTGGAAGCTTGATGAACACATTATTACATGGACCAAGTTTCATATAGAGAATTGGACTGGGCAAGACAATATGTAGGATTTTAACTTCTTTTTCTTTTATGATATTGTCAGTGCTGTCCAGTCCAACCCACCAAAAGAAGCCATAGACGACTCTATTATTAAATAAATAAGGAAATGGGAGAAAATTTGGCACCAGATATTGGGAGATATGGAGAGAACAATTCAGAATGTTTGTAATCAAGATTACCTTTGCCCTCCTTCTCAGTGTCACGACCCACACGGATTGAGCAACCACGATTAGCAACTCCCTGCAAGTTTGGCAAAGATATATTAGTAGGAAGCCAAAAAATATAAGTTTTTATCTTACTGAAGATGCTCAACTTAGAACTAGTTAGCATACCCATGAAAATGTGTCGATACTTGCAGTTTCATGCTTTCCTGTCAACCGTCTCTCATTTCCTTCTCCATAAGCACTGATATGCTCTTTGTGGCGAAGAGAGAGATTCAAAATTGCTTTCTTTATCACTTCAAATCCTCCTTCTTCTCTCATACTCTTTGTGCTGCAAATTCAAGTAATTATCCATAAATTATTGCATCTTAGTGCAAATTGCAAGCATATCTTGAAGTTGTTGTAAACTTGCATACTAGAACACATTAAACATATTTTTGACCGAATATCAAAAAAATAATTGAATACCTGTAATTGGTGTGGCATCCAGCGCCATTCCAGTCACCCTGGAATTTCCAGTATACGAGTAGATTAGACTTTTCCATATTTACACACCAAGAAAAATAAATTTATCAGAATGAAGTCTACAGTACCTCTATTGGTTTTGGATCAAGTGAGAGAACAACTCCAGCTTGTTCAGTAATTCTCTGATTAAGATATTTAAATTCACAAAAACATCAGAAATGTATTCATGTAGATCTTCTGTCTCAACTCAGATGACAAGTTAATTCAATCAGAAAAAAAAATGCCACAGGAGCTATCATTCACTTTGGCATGTCTGGTAACTTGGTCTGAACAGTACAAGTTATGCGCGGAGGGGGGAGGGGGGGAATAGTTATATCGTCAATCCTATCTTGTACTGCAAATTGTACATGCCCTTAAGTTTTATGATAAGAATGACCTACATTTTGTTCATGTCGATATATAAGTAGAAGGGAGCCTCTAGGTATTTCAAGTTACTCAAATAAAATTGTGGATCAGAGATGCTGTATAGGGTTCTCCTCTCAGAAACAAGATCTTTAAATTGTACTTGAACTTACAAAAAATTACCTCAAGGAGGTACCTAGCACACCAGATGTGATCTCCAGCTTCAATTCCAACACTGGGACCAACTTGAAATTCCCACTACAGAAAGCATCAAACAGGTCATCAATGGTATTTTAGAGGATTGCAACTGATGTTCATGTCCATTCAAGAAAGAAGAGTCAAAGAAAGAGACCTGTCCTGGCATGACCTCTCCATTGGTGCCACTAATATTAATTCCAGCATATAAGCAAGCTTTGTAGTGAGCATCGGATATGTCACGACCAAATGACTTATCCGCCCCAGCCCCACAGTAGTAGGGGCCCTAAACATTCCCCAAACAAGTAAAATGGTCAAATAATTGGTCATTCATCATTATAACTTGTAAAATGTATGTCCATTTAGTAGATTTAAGCAACATTCTATTTATCTATAAGCATAATATCTTCCTTCCAAAATCAGAAGAAAAGGATGTAAGCAACAAAATTTTAAATGAATATTAACATTTTCCGAACTGCATAAATGTTATTACCTGAGGACCAGGGTAGCCTCCAACAGGCCAACCTAGTGGCCATTTCACATTTGTTTGGAGCAAGGTGTACTCTTGCTCAATACCATACCTTATTCAAGTTGAAATAAAATATTAGAAAATAATATCCAGCTTCTTTTTTAAGCATTCAAGTCTGTTTTGAGATGTGGGGGAAAAAGTTTTGTAGGACAGAAAAAAATCAAAATAAATTCACGAGGATAGATTACCATGGGACTTCAGCAACAACTTTCGAGTCACGAAAAATCTGAGCAGCTTTATGGCGCTTGTTGGTTGGAATTGGCTCGCCTTGTGGTGTATATGCATCACATATGACCTGTTTCATGATACATATTTATTGCATTTGAGAAGCACACCTTGAGTTCATGTATGAGCACATCTCAGTGAAATTCAATAGTACTAGAGCAAAATGAAACACCGACGGCCAACTGGATACACTTACCAAGATGTTATTACCACCACGGAATGGATCTTTGAAGATTGCTTGGGGGCTGAAGAACAAATTCAAATATATTTAGGTCGAAAGGAGAAGTAACTTATAAACGTGGACGACATCATGTGCCCATGATCTTACTATAGGATAACTTCACTGTCTTCTCCAGGTGCCTGTCCTGTACTAGATCCATCGTAGTTCCACTTCGGAAGCTCAGAAGGGTGTACAACTGGCTTTGAGATAGTCTGGAAATTAGAAAAAGAAAATATTATATGAGAACAGATGCATTATTATTACCAACACATTGCAGATAACAGAAACAAATCATCAGTGTCTACCCTTGATTTACTACGAACGTCAATTCCAGATCCTCCAATCCTGTCACGGATACAGCAAAAAAATGGTCAGGATGCACAAGCAAGACCAGTAAAGAATTATTCATCAACAAAATTTTTTCATGGTGGAATATTTAACTTTTCAGTAAATTGTTTATTTGCTTACCTTAAAATACGTATATACAAACAAGAAAAGATGTTGAACATGTGGAATTTAACATTCATTGTGGAACTTTTGAAACGAATACATACCAAATATATTCAGCAATGATCTTATCAGTGTATGGAGTTACATCCAAATTTAGCAGCTGTTCTACACGGTTGATAGTGCCATTTTGAGACTGGAGTGCACACACTTTAAATCTTCCCGAGCTTTTAACTGAACCTTTCTTGTTTTGTTTCATAACAAGAGAGCTCCATGTCTTTGTCATCAATGGGTGTGCATCTGTACAGTTCTTTGCAATTCGCATCTGCCATTGTGCAGAAGGAGCCAAGATCTGTGCCATTTTCACCCTCCCTCCTGATAAGTCAAAAATAGTGTGAATAAGAAACTTCAATTTCATGAAGCAAATATTATAATGCTACACAAAGATGGAATCAATTGCATCCCAATGTAACATCATAACATTGGATCGTGTTTACCACATTGGACATGAAGAAGAATTATTTAGTAGATCCTGTCTATTGTAACTTTGCGTTTAAAAAAGGCACGATATTTATAAAAAGAAAATCATTCAAAGAACAAGATATGAAGGAGCAAACAAGATCAATCAATCAATCGTGGCAACAAATCTGATAAGCTATACAATATCTTGTCTTGATCCTCTTATGCTGATCTTTTATTTACTTTAATTGGTTAGAATGTTAAGA